ATGCTATAGACCGATCCCTAAATGATACAGCAATATGTAGAACTGTTTTAACAAATCAAATTAAAAGATCAACAAGAGCAATTCAACGTAAATATACTAACCTGCAACAAGATCTGGTGAATGAACGATGAATTGTGATATATACAGACAGGAGCAAGACCAGGCATTGCTTGAACTTCATCAGTTATGGACTAATGCTCAGAATCAAATAAACAGAATGATAAATAATATAAGAATAAAGCAAACCCGTATCGGAGCATTGCTATGTGAAAATTTTGCTTTCCAGTTATTGTATCAGTGAAATGCCTGCCACCTACAACGATGCAGAGCTGATAAAGCTTTGCTAAAATATAATCGAGATAGGTTATATGAACAATATAAGAAGTGGAAAAATAAGACTCATGCAGAGCGCCAAAATATTTTAATTTTAAATCAACAAATTTTGGCGCTTCATAACAATCTACCAAATCAAATAAACATGGCTAATGCTAGACATTTATCAGTATTAAAATTAATAGCTCCTGCTCTTGCAAAATTTCCACTTTATACGGGCCAAGAACCACCTGATGATTACTTGAATAAAGTTATTCAATTATGAGCATATCTTAAAGGGCATATGACGGTTCTTGAGAATGCAAATGCAGGAGATTTTGACAATGCAGTTAAGTGTAATATTTTAAAATCTATACTGGGTGGAAAATATGTTCCAGTACCAGCAAATAATAATTCTGAAGTAGGAAATCCAGCTATAAATTCTTCAGATACATTACGGGCTTTGATGTGAGCAAAATACCAACAGGAGACAGTTGGAAATCAGCAATCAGCTATACAAAGATTAACTCAAGAAAAATACCAACCTTATAATACTCCAGATACTTATGAAGCTAGAGTTCGGCCACTATTATTAGGAGTGGCAGACAACGACGTGCAAGTTATAAGATTCCTTAAAAGCCACTTAACGGGTGATTTTTACACTTGGATGAGAATAGCTAATCCAGCAGGCATTAATGCATTTTTCACCGAACTAAAAAATATGTGGCTGGAGCGTGAACAAAATTCGAGTAGAAGGATCCCAGAGGAATCAAGTCAAATTCCCAACCAAGAGCAAGCCTTACCTAGTATAAATTCAGTGTCCTATTCTTTATCACTAGTTATTGCAGCTCCTCAACAGCAGTAAATTTCTTTAGAAGATATGCAAAAAGTAATCCAAAACGCACTGGCATAGCAAAAAACTGAATACCAGTCTTTATTGAAAAAGCAAAAAGCTGATTTCCAACCACAAATGGCACAGCAAGCAGTTGCTCAAAAAGCACAAGCACTAGCTCCACAAACTGTCGAACCAGTTAGACAGCCAAGAGGTCCACCACCTTCATTACAAACAGAAGAAGGTATAGAAAATTTTCGCTTATTACAATACTTAAATAATTTAGATATATTTAGTAGAGAAGATTTTGACAGAAATTATCCTTTTCAAAAACCTTATCAGGGACAATTATATTCATCAAATCAAAATGCTAGAATGGATAGAATAGAATCGAAAGTAGATGAAATCAGTCAAATGATATCTCAATTCGGGAAGATGATAACAAAAAACCTGTAGCTAAATCAAATTCAACATATCAATACTTTCCTCCTCTAATACCTTCCCAATCCCAATATGCATCTCCTGATTTAGATGATAATGAGGATGAAGAAGGTGGATATAACAAGGAAGAGAATAAATAGCATGCTCCATCTCAGTCAGAAAAAAAAAATAGGTACCGGTAAATAAAAAAATACTTCCAGAACTTAGTCAGCCTGAAACGTACGATGAACTATTGCCAAAGCTTTCACCGGCAATGCGTAAAATATGTCAGTCTCATATAGTCTAGGAAAAAGAATCAAAATCAGATGAATGGTTTTCATCATTGCAATACTTGCATTGTAATATAAATAATCTATTAATCACTAATTCCTTTTTAGATAGCGCGAGTGAATTTGGGGGAGTAAATGATGCAACAATTAACGCCTGGGGTGGAAAGCTGATAAGCCTTCTGACTTTGCTATAAAGGGTAATTCCAAATATATATTCGAATCATTAGGATGGTATACAGATGTGCCA